AGTTTTTTAAATTGAGTATTATTTTGAGAAAAAAAAATTTTAATCAAATGATATTTAAACGAAACTTTTATCCTTCGCTATCTGGCAGACAGCCAGTCCCAACAAAGTCCAGAGTTCACGGGGGTGGCAGGGAGGTTCTCCTAGCCAGAGCCTGCACCCTGCTAGCCCAGCTGGGGCGCTGGCTTCTCCCCTGCTGTAGCCGGGCTCAGTGTCCAGCCTCGTCTAGGCCCCTCCCATCATCTCCAGCCCCTCCCGTTAGCAGATTTTCCAGCTAACTCCAGGAGCATGTGGCAGCAGCACCCTTCTGTGGCTCTTCTCTGACACGCACACGCCCCTCCAGCCACAGGCCATCCAGCCGTCCCACCTCCCTTTCAGAAGAGGTTGCAGGCCATGGCCACCATCCACCTTGGCTCTTCCATGCTGCTCCCACCGATGGCTGGTGCTAAAGCTCTTTCCAACAGGAGTAGCAAGGATCACAAAGTGATTTCTCCTCCCAGGTTGGGAATCAAAACCACCCACCCAGTAGCAGAGCGCTCGCTGCTTCTGGTTCATCCTTATACTGAGTTGGACTCTCCTTCTGAGACTCCGATGCATGCCTTACCCTCACTATTCTAGCCCCCATCCGACCTGGCAGGATTCCAGAGGGAAAGGTTTCCAAAGCCAGCAGCCTACTATGGAAAGGGTTGGAGGAGACCCTTATGGGAACTAGACCATAATTTTAGTCTTTCCAGAGCTGAAGGGCACCCCAGAAACAGGCCCACAGCCACATATAGCGGTGCTAAGATCCCTTCCAGTGCACAGCCGTGAAGGACACAGGCCTCAGAGTCAGGTAGACCTTGCAGCAAGTTCAAGCTCTGTGGGGCCTATAATAACATGTTACTTTTCCCAGGGCAGCAGGGCGGAGTCCCTGAGATACTGCAACAAGGAAGTTTCTGAGCGGGGCCTGGCACCTGTCAGCGCTGTGCCTCTGCCCCACCCTGCAGGCTCCTGGGGTACACTCTAGCGTGGCAGGACAAGCTGGGATGGCAGCGGGCGGGCTCCCAGCAACTCTACTGCCCTGAGCACCAGGAGGGAGAAGCAGAGTTTCAGAGCCTAAGGAAGGGAGTGTGGGAGGCAACTTAACACCCAAGCGTCTAAGAGAAGGCAGATGCACCACCAACCACATCTGGAGAGGCCTGGGAGGCTAGGCAGAGAAATGGCTACTTCCTGGGTGGGGTCTGGGGCACCAGGAAGAGCCCAGCCCTGCAGGGTCTAGCCCAGGACTCCCCGGGACTCTATCCTGCTGGGTCGCAGCCCCTCAGTCCAGTCTTCCCAGGAAAGGAGACAGTGCTCCTTCTTTGCAAAAACCCCTAATAAATAAGCCATTTGGCCCACCTGGTACCGGTAGGTGGGATTCGCTGGCTAGTTCAGAGGCCTTGAAGGAAATGTCCTGTGAGTGGTTTGGCACAGAACAGCATGGTGGCTCACCCACCCTGCCCAACTTCTGGTGCCTCAGACTCAGAGCAGCCTTGGGAGAACACACAGTGTGACCACTGTTCAATGACTGCCCACTGCCCTGCCCCTCGGGAGGGAGGGGATGAAGTCACACTACACTCCAGGGCTGGCCCCCCCCCAGCCCACACCTCCCTGAGTGAGCTCACTGGGCAGGGGCAGACACATTTTCAAGCAGACAAATGTACCCCAGCAGGAATCTCCCTCACAGAGCCTTCTTTATTAGGAAAACTGCATCCTAGTCCACTCTGTTGCTCTGGGGGTACTTGGGCTGGTGGCAGCACGCATGCCACTCCAGGAATCCCAGGTATGCGAGATCCCAGGAGGGCCTGTGGCCCGAAGCCCAACTGAAACCAGATGACCATGCATGGTTCCCCTCCAGCAGTCAGGGGACTTTCCTCCCCTCAGGCCCACCACCCCCACAGCGAGCTTCCTGACTTCTCTCTCCTTTGCAGAAGCTCCTACATCAGAGGTCCAAGGAAACCCACCCGTCCTGATTCTTCAGGGACAAAGAGGCCCTGAGAGGGAGAGCCCTGCTGGGGTGACTTCCATACTACTCCCCACATGCACGATTTCCAGTATTTTCCATCTTGACCCGGCTATCCTTCTCCTCCATCCCTGCCTGCTTTGACAAACATCACGCGCACAGTCTTGGCCTCTTGCAACACAAACAAGCAAAGATAAAACCACACTCAACATCAGTAGACATCAGCGAAATGCAAATCAAAACCACAATAAAAGACTATTCATATCAACTAGGATACTTATAATTTTTTAAAAAAATGGAACACAAGTATTAGTGAGGATGTGGAAAAATTGGACCTCTCATACATTGCTGGTAGGAGTTTAAAATGGTGCACCACTGTGGGAAACAGTATAGTGTTCCTCTGAAACCTCAAGCTAGCATAGGATCCAGCAATTCCACTGCTAGAGTTGAAAACGGACACCCCGACAAATACTTGCACATGACTATTCATAGCTACGCTATTCATAACAGCCAAAAGGTAAACACAACCCAAATGTCCATCAAAGGATGAATGAATAAACAAACTGTGATACATACATACAATGGAGTATTACTTGGCCATAAAAAGGAATGAAGTACTGATATATGCTACAACACAGATAAACCTTGAAAATATGTGAAACAAAAGAAGCCAGACACAGAAGGTCACATATGGTATGATCCCACTCGCATGAAATACCCAGTCTGGGTAAAAGCCATAGAAACAAAAAAGCAGATTGGTGGTTGCCAGGGGGAGGGGGTAGGTCAGGGGCAGAAGGCAGAGAAGGATGGAGAGTGACTGCTTCATGAGCGTGGGGTTATGGAAGTGTTTTAGAATCAAATAGAGGTGGTGGTTCGTACAACATTGTGAATGTGCTCAGTGGCTAAATGCCACTGATTTGTTTGCTCTAAAACAGTTTTATAATGCAACTTTTTACCTAAATAAGAAAATAAAGTTAACACATCTTAAGAAAAAGCACAACTCACAGTGCGTTTCCAGAAGCTGCCATCCTCTGCCAGCACATTGACAGGCACAGAACACATCTTACTGTGAGCAAATGATGTGCCCCAGCTCTGCCACATGTGATTTCGGCCCCATGGTAAACATCCTCACACTTTTACCCTTTCATTGTGTGGAAGTTTATGGACTGTAGCTGCAGCCCCGGTTTGCTGAGTGCCATGAAGGACTGGTGGAGGCGGAACAGGCTTCCATAACCAGCTCGAACTTACTCCTGAGCATTTCTAACTGCTTCTGTACGTTTATTAGCATATAAAGGTAAAACACCAAGTCACGGACTTCAACGTTGAGCCATTATAAAGCTTCTTGATTATATATGAAAACTTGTAAATGTTTAAGAGTAATTCTACCTGGAAGTTTCAGCTTCATCATTTTAAACAAATAACAGCAGAAGGAAATGATGATAATCTACCCTTTGTTCTATTTAAAACGTGAATAATTAACCTTCCAGGAGGGAAAAAAAGCAGACTTTTAAGAGCAGTTCAACCCAATAAACGTCCAATTTAAAAATAGATTAGTACTGCTGGTACAGACCGCCACACCTGATTTATCGCAGTGGCGTGGTACATGAGATCAGTCATTACTTCGGTCAAACTGTTGGAACACGGATGCCCTTCAGCTCTGCTTCAGGCACTTAAATGCTGGAATCTACTGATTTGGGGAGCGGGGAGTATGGCTGGTATAAAAGGCATTAAAAGTTCACATTTTTAGGCCTGGCACAGTGGCTCGCACCTGTAATCCTAGCACTCTGGGAGGCTGATGCAGGAGGATTGTTTGAGCTCAGGAATTCGAGACCAGCCTGAGCAAGAGTGAGACCCTGTCTCTACTAAAAAAAAATATAGAAAGAAATTAGTTGGATAACTGAAAATATATATAGAAAAAATCTACTGGGCATGGTGGTGCATGCCTGTAATCCCAGCTACTCAGGAGGCTGAGGCAGAAGGATCGCTTGAGCCCAGGAGTTTGAGGTTGCTGTGAGCTAGGCTAATGCCACAGCACTCTAGCCTGGGCAATAGAGTGAAACTCTGCCTCAAAAAAAAAAAAAAAATTCACATTTTTGTTTTATCAAATTTTGTTACCAAAAAAATGCTATATTACTACAGATTTCATATTCTAAAGATCAGTCTCTCCTAGGTAGAAATATTAATATTTACTCATTATTCCCTAAGGTCTATATCTAGAATTAAATAAATATATATTACCCACCTATACAAAAGGTTTTGATCAGCAGCATCCTCACAAGAATAAAAAGTCGATGGTTCAGAGTATTGTACCGCTACATCACCGGACAGAAAGGAAAAGCCTCCCTGGGCCTCTCCAGGGGAATGTAGTTACCAAAGTGTCCCAGGAAAATTTTTGCCAAGAAATTTCACTATACAGAGACTCCAGGGCGTCACTATGCTCATTACTGCCCCAGCATAGAGGCTCCCTAATTATCTTCTTTCAAAAAGAAAGAAGAAAGAGAGGGGGAGTGGGAGGAGGAGAAAGGAAGAGGAGAGAGAGAGGAAAGGGAGAACAAATAATGAAGAAGTTAAGAGAGTAATCTCGTTTCTCTGCTCCAGAAGCAACTAACTCTGGAGACAGAATGAACCAAGCTAAACATTAACAATTGCTTCTTGTTGGCCTTTGACAGCACGGGGTGGTGACAGGAGCTTGCCCTTCGGAAACCAGCTAGATGGGTTCAAAAACCAAGCTCTGCATTTAGAAGCTATGTGACCTTGAAAAAGTTCATTAGCCTCTCTGAGCCTTTGCTCCTTTACCCGTCAATAAGAATAATCCCAGCTACCTCCCACAGTTGTAGCTGTAAAGGAGACGGCCATGTTACCATGTTACCGGGCCTGTAGTCACTTTGCCTCTCCCATGGCCTGAAGCACTAACAGCTGGAATCCAGCTCGGAAGGTCTGTGACCCTTGCTGTACCAGGAAAATCAGAACACAGCCAAACTACTATGGTATTTTTTATTAAAAAAGAAATTAAATAAAATAGTGATCCATTATATATAAAACTGAACTGGAATCATAGCTCATGGCGGGGGAGGCTCGAAAGACGGAGACAAGGACGTGGCTGTGGTGTTGTCTTTCTCTTCATATCTAGGAGGTGATTCAGATGACAGAGGTGGCGAGTGTGAGGTCGCAGAGGACGAACTAGGCCCAGAGATGGTATATACAGATTCGAGACCTCTCTCCGTGCCCAGGCTCTCGGGAGGCGGGGTGCTGCTAAAGAGAAGGAGAGAGAACATGAAGGGGAGGGGACAAAACAGTGGCACCTCTTTGGTACTAGGTTCTTTTTAAATGTTTAATTACCCGCATTTAAGAGCATACGCAAGGATCTAAGGAGTAAGAAGGTGTCTCTTCCATACTCTACTCTTTATACATCGTTTTGATTCCTCATCTCTTACTTTTCTTAGAACTGATTGTGACATTAAGACAGTCTCACTCCTGTTGTCATTCCCCTTGTCATTGAAAAGACATTGAGTACAAATGTATAGCTGCCATCCAAACCACGCATGTGCACGCGTGTGCACACACAGTTACTGTTCTCTGCTATTTTGTCTTCTGGGACGGCTAACATAAGGTAGACAAATTTAAGCATACAGAAAATGAAAACATTAAGCCAAAAGCGTGAAGGGAGACAAGAAGGCACACTGGTTAATGACATGCACTCACGACCTGCACTGGAATTCCACTCTGCTGCCTTCCAGTTGTGTGATCCTGGGCAAGTTATTGCACCTCTGTAGGTCTCAGTTTCCTTATCTATAAAATGGGGGTGATAACAGTGCTTTCCTCCTACAGTGGTTATGAGAATAACGTGAAGCAAAGCAAGAAAAGCCAGATCCGGAACACAGAAATCACAGCAGCGGCAGCAGTTTATTTTAAATTACCAGACATTGATTTTATGGTTCGGGGAAGTTCTTCATTAGAGGAAAAACATACAAAAATTCATTATTAGAACTCTACAAATGTCCAGCCCTAAGCTGCCGTTTCTCCATAGAGGGCAACTCCTGCATTCACCTCCCTGGATCCATCTGTAGCTCGCTACTCACTGTCAAGCTCAAAAACCTCTGTCCTTGGCAGCCACCTCTTTCCCTGTCTCATCAGACAATCTGTCCCCCATTTTGTGGAAAAAGGATCTCTAGACAAATTCCCTCTAGGCCCCAGGGGAAAGGCAGGTGTCTCCCCAGACCCCCTGCAGGGCCCACAGCTGCTCCTTCAGGGCAGTGGGGGGAGGGAGATTGTGACTCCCCAGGGTGTGCCTTAAACACAAAGGACAGTAAGGTGGGGCCCATCCCCAAAACGGTCACGCCCTTCGGGCCCCACTTCTCACTGCTCAAAAACCCACTTCTCATTGTCTAGAAAGCAGATCTGCCCGGGTCCTGCCCACCCCTCCCACTCAGCCCCATGACAATTCCCAGCAGTCCTTCCCTCCCTTCCTACACCCTGGCTCCCCATTCTGGAAGGTGCCACCAGAGCCTGTTCCAGCCCTGCTTCCTAAGCATGCTGCCATCTCCGGGGTCTGCAGAGCCCCTCCCTCCCTGGCACTCCCCGGGACCCCTTCCTAGCACACCTTCCCTCCCGTGGGTGTCCCACAGGTCTCTGACTCCTTGTCCTCTGGTTTCAGCAACCTCTGCGGCCCCATCTCCAGCACCTCCTCTCTCTCCCAAGACCTAGCCCTGTCCAGTCTGCCTCCCAGGCCCACATCCTGCTGTCCCTCCACCGCCAGCCAGCCACCACCTCCCTGCCAAAACGAGCTCATCTCCTTCCTCCCCTCAGTGGGGACCTCTCCACTGTCCCTGTGGCTGGCCCTGGAAATCATCATCTCCGCCTCTCCCTCGATGCCATCCTCCTCTCCAGACCCCTCTCACACCAGCATCCGCGGTCCCAGGCTCCTGGTGCCCCAGCCTGTCCCATTAGAGGCAGCCTCGCTGCCTTCTGCGTGGGGTGGGTGTGGATCTTATGCTCTCTGAGGCACAGAGAACAACAGAATATTGAGGGAGAGGCCCAGCTGGGTCAGGTCAGGGCGCAGTCAGCCCGAGCGCTGCTGTCAGAACACTGAAACCCTTCCGCACCTCCTCGCACCTCCCCGTGACCTACAGGGTAAAGCCCAGGGGCGCAGGGGCCTCCTGCCTGGGCTCCAGCACTCAGCCCGACCCATGGCTTGTTAAACACTCTGAGCGTCACCCCTGCTGGGAGCAGATAAAGATGCCTGGAGAAGGCTTCACATTAATCCAGAATAATAACCACTTTTATCGTTTTTAACTTATGTGCTGCCCAAAAGTTTCCTGAAAGATATTGTTAATATCAAGGCAATAGTTGTGACGTAACATCAGCAAAAGACATACTCACACGCACACATTTATTCTCGTGCCACAGCCTTACAGCTAGTTCAGCCCGAATCCAGGCACAGGCCTGGCAAGGTTAAGCACGCCTACTCTTGGAGTTCAAACGGAAAGTCTTACCCGTGGTTAAAAATACTGTAATATGAAGGTGGATTTTCGTTCAGAAGCAAACCATGAGCCCCAGGACTTCCAGGTACTGCAGCAGCCGAAGACTCAGGAAAGTATGGTGGTGGAGGGGGTGGAAATATGATCACCGAATCACCTAAGGAAACACAACGTTTAGTTGAGGACAAGTGGGTAATAAACAGAAGCAAATTAGCAAGAGCATAAGAAACAAATTCTATGTTTGGCCTATCTATAGAAAAGGTCAAAACACCTGCTGCTAACTCCAGGATTAAAAAGTGGGCCCATTAAATTCATAGAGCCAGAGAAGTACAGAGACTAGGTCGCCAGGGGCTGGGTGGGGAACTGCTGCTTAATGGGTGTGGAGCTTCTGTTTGGGATGAGGGACGAAGCTCTGGACACTGATAGTGAGGACGACTGCACAATACCATGGATGTATTCAGTGCCACCGGATTGTACCTTTAAAAATGGTTAAAATGCTGGTCGTCTCCGATTCCGCGGAGGAGATACCATGAGCAAAGCTCACCCTCCCGAGTTGAAAACATTTACGGACAAGAAGTTATCACTGCAATTGAACGGTGGCAGACATGTCCAAGGAGTATTGTGGGGATTTGATCCCTGTACGAATCGTGTGATAGATGCATGTGTGGAGACGGCAACTAGTGGGCAACAGAACAATCCAGAAATGGTGGTGACACGAGGAAATAGTGTCATCATGTTAGAAGTTGGGACGAGTATAAATCATGGCTGTTCAGCAGAGAAATCCAAGTCCCCTCTCCAAAGGGCCTGTTTTACTATGATGTCAAAATCAGGTCATGTACATTTTCATATTAAACTTTTTGTTAAATAAATATTTGTAATAGTCAAAAATAAAATGAAATAATAAATAAATAAAAATGGTTAAAATGGTCGATTTTATGCTACATATATCTTACCATAATTTTTGTAAGGGGCCTATATTTCAGAGTGCAGCGTACTCCCCACCGCAGCGTGGAGGTGGGCCTCTATGTCACAGCAAGCCTGAGCCGAAGCACCTCTGTGAAGTGTTTCCTAACAAGCTCCCTTCTCTGGGATGTCTACTACGGATAGAGCTTTTCTCATTTTCAATCCACAATTTTAATTCATCACAAGGTAGCTGTTGGGTAAAGTGCCGACTTCTCCAAATGTACTTTCAGCCTCTGAACAAATGACAATAAGCCATGCTGCAGCCTGTCATTGTTATCGACCAGATTTCACCCAAGCTGTACAGAGGAAGGTCAGACTCAAAGGAAAGTTTGTTTTTCGTATTGCTGTTGCCACTATTCACTGCAGAGCACATCCCGTGCTCTGAGGAGGAGAAACTAGGGACCAGATGCAACTCTAACTTGTATTCAAATTCTAATACAAACTGCACCACACGGCTTGCCCAGAACATTGTAGACGTGTGGCAGCTCCACTACTGGGGCTCTGAGGACAAGCTGGCAACACCAAATGACAGTTCAGGAAAAATGAAGGAGCAGAGAGGCCTCGGCTTCCCTGTAGGGAGGGGACTGGCTCACGCCGGCGGCACGTCCGATGCCTGCGTAGGTTGGCACAAGATTCTTTAAAGCAATAGGGGTTCCATTTGCCAATTTCTAACCCAGCGTGGCCCTGAACAAGGCAGGAGACCTCCCTTAGCCTCAGCCACCACAGCTGTAAACTGCAGGCCGTGTGGTACCTGCAGCAGAGAACAGGTAGAAGGCCTAGATGGGACGATTTGTGTCCTGTGGTTAATACAGTGTGGAGCACAGAGCAAACGCTCTCAGCTCTTAACACATCAGCCACCAGCCAAAGATACTTATTTGCCTGATCAAGACACACCCCAACTGGCAGCCTGGCCAGTGGCTCCACCCTCCACAATGGTCTCAATCACTTCCTCAGAGGGAATTTAGCCTTTCAGAAAACGCATTAGCTCCATCTGTCCTTCTGCAAGGAGAATACATATATCTCGCTAATCTAAACTTGAGAAAGCATAATGGTTATCTTGGGATTCTCATTTAATTTTTTAGAAGGTCTTGGTAGGTCAGAGGCATCAAGGTTGAGTGTTCACGTTAATTACACATTGTAGAATAAAGGATATGTGAAGAGAGCCTCTAGGGCAGGCCAATCACCTTGCAAAAATAAACAAGGAAAAGCCCAGAGCAACCCTGTTATCTCCAAGCCTCTCCATCCCTTGCCCAATCAGCTGACCTCCCCTACCTTGCCATCTGCTGTCCCTGCAAAGAAGCCTCTCCCTGGGAGTTCCCTTTCACTTGTCCTTTGGAACTTGATGTCCTCTGTGAGTCAACAGCACACACACCCCTCAAGGGAGGGCTGTCTCATATGCCTGCTTGTATATCCGGGCTCTAGCACTGAGTGTGCCCACAAGGAGGAGAGCATAAACCCTATCCCACAATATCAAAGGAGACAAAAACAAGCAGGTAAGATGCCAGATTTTCACAGATTCGATGGAGCTTAAGGGGTTAAGTGGAAGAGATTTTCAACTCTGCAGTGCCAACTTCAGGACAAGGATGCCCAGGAGCAGCACCAGCGGCTCTGCTCCCTGCCACCAGCCCGACTCCAGCCACCAGAAACTCCCCTGCTAGCAGGCCCAAAGAGCACATTGCAAAATGTTCCCATCTGAGTGGAGGAATAGGAGCATTCAATCAATGTGTTTGCTTGTACCCACTGTGTTCCCCAAAAGGGCTGAGAACATCTGTAACATTGGGTGAGCCCTCTTCTCCTGCAGCAATTCCTGAGAACACTTGGTGAAGGATGAAACGGGATTGCACCCAAGTGTCCTGGGGAGGGTGCTATGCAAGGGCTACACTGTACAGGGGCCCACCCACCTGGGTTTGGACCCTGCTCTGCCACTTGCTAGTTGATGGCCTTGGCCAAGTCATTTGCTATCTCGGTGCTTCAGTTTCTTCACACCTAACATGGAGACACTAAGACTATCTGCCTCCTTGGGTTGCTGTAGGTGTGAATGAATTTCTCCTAGGGGGCCTTTTAAGAGTCTATGACAAAGCACTTAGACAGGTATTTGGCACATGAATAGACCCTATGTAAGTGTTAGTGATTATTAATACATAATTAATATTTGTTTTGCCGCCATAAATATAGAAGTGCACAAATAAGTAAACCAGAAGCATCATCCATGGCTCAGCATAAGGAATGGCTATAAATCCATCTGCCCTTCCTCTCCAAGGCTGGGGCCACGCGAGGCCAGCAGCCTGGTTACTTCCCTGCACCCTGCAGTCAGCAAATCCTGCTGGTTCCAGCAGACAGCTGCAAACACGAGACACATCCCACTTGTCACTCTCCCTCTTGGTGCCTACCACAGTCTCTGTGATGCGGTCCTGTTTACCTAGGCATTTAAATGCCATGGCTTCAGAGCTTTGCCCTTTCAAAAGTAGGAGACTGGAAAAAAAGTGATTTCCAAATGAGCAGTGATGGGGTTTGTCCGTGGCTGTGGGAAGCTGAGCCAAAGCTTCTGATATTGTTCTGTGGGGGTTGGCTCTGGGAAATCCTACTCCATCTCTTCTTTGGAAACGGGAGACCCAAAAGGAATCTCCAGGCATTCCATGGGAGGAAGAAGTGACAGGTGCTGTCACATTCCATCTCAGTCTACGCCACTGCTTCCAAGCTTTGCCTCAACCCTGCAGTCAAGGATGAAGTCACAGAAAATAAAGGACGATGCAGAAACAGCACTGAAGCCCCTCAAATGCCTGAAGCCTGGAGGACTCGGGACAGACTCAGAATCATGGAATGTCAGTGCTGGAGGGATCTGCTAAATGCCCTGCTCATTTTATAGGGGCATAAACTAAGGCAGGAGAGGTTAAGGACTTGCCAAGGACAGCCAAGGAGGAGAACCCAAGTGTCCCACAGCTAAAAGTGCTATATGGTTTTGGTGTGAGAATAGCAAGGGAAACAGGGTCACTTAGTGAGTCCCTAAGGTGACAGAAGGCTCCAAGGCTGATCTCATGGTTCTCACTTTTCTCCTAACTTGCTCTGTGACCTCAGCCAAGGTCACTACTTAATGTCCCAGTGAATACAAAGTTGCTAGGGGGAAATGATGAGAACAAGGATTCCTGGTTGTGAGGGAGAGGAAATGAATCTAGACCAGACCCAAGGGCGGCCCAGTGAAGCCGTGATGCAAAGCCACTGTGATAGCAGCAAGGACAAGAACAACAGCCACGCACCTACAGTGACCTGGACAGGCTCTGTGCTCTGGGTCTGTCCCTCTTCGCTTTCAGGAGCATCCTGGCCAGCATTCAGGTTGTTTCTCTTCTTGACGTGGGCAACTACGAAGAAACACAATCCCACGAGCACAGTCAAGGGCCCCATGATCTGCAGAGAAAGGAAGCCACAGATCTGGGGCTCCACGTCGGCAGAGTCTGTGTCGTTCAGTGGCTCCTGCGCCCAGTCTGAGCGGCATCCAGGGACCCAGATGCCCAGCACGCTGATGAGCATGCCGCTCGTCAAGAACAGAAACCCGAAGATGAGGCACTGGGCAAACTGGCGGCTCTCCCCACAGATGAAGGCTCGGTCAGGGTCTGTGTGGTGGCCTCGCCGCTGCCCCTCACGGAGCTGAAGTCGTGCCCGGGAACGAGCCAGGATCACAGCCCCAAGCCCAACCACAGCACATGCGGGCCCCGCGACCTTCAGCACCATGCTGCAGTGTGGCAGGGGCTCATATTGGCAGGCCTGGAACCCAAAGATGGAGAGCAGGACCCCCACACACAACAGGATGGCGCCAAAGACAAAGAAGAAGAAAATGAGCTTGCTGACAAGCCTGTCTTGCTGGTCCCCATCCGGCTCAGCAGCAGCTGCAGGAGACATGGCCAGAAGAGAGGCCCCTTTCCCGGGGCAGAGGGGATGTCTCTCCTTCCCTCCGAGATCTCAGCACCTCTGCAAACATAACCAAACACCAAATTACAGTGAGTACAGGTGTTCCTGGACTGCCCTGTTCTTTTGCTGAACATTTCAGAAATCACAGCAGGATGAAGTCATAAGGCCACGACTCCATGCGACTGACACACCATAGAACAATGAGTTGGTTTATGAGTCAGAAGAACTGGCATTCAGAAACTCCTGAATATGTAATTTTATGAAGATACTGAAAAAAGAAGAAATTCAATTACCATGCATCTGGAGTATCTTTAAATACAAAACAACAAAATTAACTGGGTGTGGCTTTTCCTGTTCTGAGTCGTACAAACTCACTGCCCCAGGCAAAAACATGGGGGAATGCAGGAAGAACCACAGGGCTTATTTCTGATTTACTGATGCCCCACTTTTCTTCACAGCTGCTCTGAGCATTTCCAGGTCGGTAAATTTTTGTTCAATAACTAACTTTCCATTTCCTGTCTTAGACTACAGCAACTTTCCATTTCATGTTTTATTCTAAGGCTATAGCCACTAAAAGATCCAAGTCCAGCAATTTCAATGGAATGGGAAGGCAGTTGAGGAACACAGTGGGTTTTAAATGTTAATTCTACCAAAATGTGGTTCTTGGGTTCTCAACAAGCACACACTGGTGGCCCAGTTGCTTGATCTTGGAAGACCCTGGAAAGTCTGGCACAGCAGGTCTAGTGGAGCCCTGTCTCCAAGGTGAACAAGTACCCTAAATCAGGTGGCCTCTCACTCTCCCTCCTCCACAGTGTCACCCACTTCCACCAAGAGGTTTAGATTCCGTTAAAAATAAGCAGCCAATAACATCACCAGTTACAAAGCACTAAACACCAACAAAACTTAACTTTGAAAGAATAGTATAATAGAATCAAATCAAAAAGCATCTTCCACAAAATCACAAAAGGCCTGCACTTCAAGGATATTATATATTCAATATACAAGCAGTTCTTAAAGATTGGTCTAGTTTACACAGAGCTAATTTTATTGTCCCGTTATCTTGGTTTACTCCAGTGAATGGGATATTTTACGTGGACCCTTTAAGTAGGGGAACTCCAAAGCCAAACCAAAGTGCACAATACAAATTTGTGAAGACCATTTTCACTTGCCCAAGGAAAGAAAACTTTAAAATTATTCTGAGCCACTCACATCCATGGTCACATATAGGAAATCAAGACTGAGGCTCTAAGGCCAAGACCATCTTGACAAACCAAAATCACATCAAGGGAAGGTCAGCTTAGGTAAAGAAAGCAAACAGCTAATCTTACACAAGGAAGTACTTTCCCAGGAAAAAGTACGATAGAATCAGAAGTTGGAGAAAAGAGGAAATATGGTAGGGAGATAAGCTTTCATTTCAACCGTGCAAAAAGTATACTTTATGAAGTTGCATTTAAGCTGAGACAAAATACTGAAAGAAAGCATTGCACTAATTTAAAAACAATTTTTAATCTCTTTTTCTGGTTTCAGAGATAGGGAGAGAAGGATGATCCTCGGCTACAAAGTCCAAGCAGGAATTTCTTGTATTCCTGGTATAGTCAACTTTGCAGTGAGTCACAAGGCTTCGATTGTTTTACGGCAAATTCCCAAAGACCAGTAAATAGAAGAAGCCCAAAACTGGATTTGTAGCTTCTTTTCTGTGGTCTAGTGTACTGAGCACCTGGTTTAGTGTTTATCCCTGATCCAAAATAGTGGGTGGGTAGTCTGTTGAGATCCCCCTTCCCCACAGATGCACTCACAAATGGATACAGAGACATCTATACTCACAGATAACTAAACCTTTTCTAAATACCAACTCAAACTTGATTTCCCCAAAGCCAAATTCCCCTCCCCAACACTCCTATCCATTTTTCAAAAGACATTTCCAAATCAACAGCACCACCTCCCCACGTCCAAAGCTCTGCTGAGTTTGGGGAGCGAGGCAAAGAGGGGCAAATGTCCTTTTTCTTTGGAGATAGGGTCTCACTCTGTCGCCCAGGGTAGAGTGCAACAGCGGGATCATAGCTCACTGTAGCCTCAAACTCCTGAGCTCAGGCAATCCTCCTGAGTAGCTGGCACTACAGGCGCGCACTATCACGCCCCGCTAGTCTTTTAATTTCTGGTAGAGGCGAGGGGAGGGTCACACTATGGTGCCCAAGCTGGCTTCGAACTCCTTAGCCTCAAGCGTTCCTCCCGCCTCAGCCTCTGAAAGTGCTGGGATTACAGACGCGACGCACCGCTCCCAGCCAGCCAGTGTCTTTTATGGGAAATAGATTTGTGGGTTTGGGGGAGCCCGAGCGCAACCAACATCCCCGAGTGGCTCGGCGCGCGGCTCCCGGGGCGCAGGGTCGGCGCGGGTCCTCGCTGTCTCCGCGCTGCCGTGGTGCCCGGCACCAAACCCGGCGGGCAAAGCGCAGCGCCCGACCCGCCGCCTCAGAGGCAGGCGCCGCGGGCCCGAGCCGCTTACCTGGGGCTGGATCCTGAGCGCGCGGCGGCGCCCGCCGGGGCAGCTGCTGTGGGCGCCCGCTGGGCGCGCCGTCCGCCTCCGCACGCGGCCTCCGCTGCGCCGGCCGCCCCGCACGCTCCCGCCCGCGGCCCAGGCGCGGAGGGCGGGCCGCCACCCGACTTAGAGAGGGAGGCGGTGCCGGGCGGGAGCGCGGCCGGGGCAGGACAGGGCCGGCCGGCCGGCGGGCGCTGGCCGCCACCGAGGGCGGAGGCGTGTCGGCGCTGGAGCGGAGAGCCAGGGGCGGCTTCGGGGCCCAGGGCTGGGGACTTGGCCGCCTCCGCGCCCGTGACCGTGCACGCAAGGAATCCGGGGGAGATGGGCACCCTCAGCGCCTCCCTGGCCCGCAGGCCACGCTGGGAGCCAGCGAGTTGAAATTCTCCCCCTGGCTGCCCGGACTGCGCGCTGCGCCGGTCGAGATCCAGGCAGCGGGGAGGGGAGCAGCTCCCCTAACAGGCCCGGGGCCCAGAATCCCGGAGGGTCGTGAGAAAGCGGCGGGGGAAGGTGCAAAGGAGAAAGCGCCTGGCCCCCTTTCCGGCGCGGTCGCGACCCAGGCAGAATAGGGTCGCGCGTCCCGTCGCCACGCTCTAGGCCACCGCAAGGTCTGGGGTAAGTACACCCAGTGGCCGTGTGGCTCTCCTGCTGCTCCAGAGACCTTGACTGGGGTCACTGGATGAAATGCCTCGCTGCGAGCTCCCCATCCAACAGGTTGTGGAAACACTAAGTCACAGAAATGTGCGCCCCATTAGAATGTGAGACAAGAGTCCTCCACACCCAAGCCATTCAGACCCGAGGTCCTAGCTCCGAGACTGCAGCAGACACTCGCAAGCCTGATGCGGGGCCAGTTGTGTCCCTTCCGCACTCACATGTATGCACACAGCCCTCCTTTGCCATAGAACCCCCTTCCTAGTTCTCCACCGCTAATGATCTACCGGAATTAAACTGGTAACTTTCCCGGCCCTTGAACCGGGAGTTTCGAGATGGGTTTGCTAATCCCAGCACTATTTGTAACCTGCCCCGTGACATGTGACTCGGATCGAACTGTGCCACACTAGAGGTCAGCGCTCTGTGGAAAGTGAGTCAAGGGCTCTCCGCCCAAGCACAGGGGCGCCCTGAGCCCTGGGGACTTCCCCACCTGTGCCTCCCTAGCTTCCGGTCCACCCAGTCTGAAACCCTATCTAGAGTTAAGGCCCTGGGAGTAACCTTTCTAAAATGCAAGCACTTTACTTACCTGACAGCTAGTCATTCCCGGTGGCTCCCACTGAGAGTACAGTACAGCTTAGCCTCCGCTCATTACCAGAGGGGAGAAGACTCGAAGGGGTCAGAGGACAGCAAAGAGGGCAGGGCGGTCGCCTGGGCTTTAGGGCTGGAGGGGTGGGGTGGGTGAGGTCCAGGTTCACAAGGGCGCTAGGCGGGACAAGTTTCAGCCGTTGGAATTTGGTGGGGCACTTCCCTGGGTGGCCAAATGTAGACTTTCTCAGAGCCGGGGCGCCCTGACCTCCGTGAACCTGTCATAACTAAGGACCCTGTTTATTACTGTACTGAATGATACTAACACTCACCACCGCTTGCGCTGTGCCAGGTTCGGCACCTTACAAACAGCCTGTCTGTCTCCAGCAGCTCAGAGAAGGCTGGAACCAGAAGGGGGCAGGAGACTTAGAAAAACAGTCATTTGTCAGTTGAGGAAACTGAGGCCCAAAAAAGTAAAGGGACCTCTGCAGCTGGTTGATGTGGGGCAAGGGCCTGAGCCAAATGTCCCCACCATTCGGTGTTCCTCCGCAAGTACACCTGTCACCCAGAGGACAGACGATGTTGTGAACTCAGAAAACACCTTTTTATTACGTGGCTTTGTGACGCCAGGCAAGGATCTGTATAGATCGCTATAACAATACAGGCATTGTAGTAGTCTGTGCCTGGGGTGGAGCTGTCCTTCCTGGTCAAAGTGTCAAGATATACTCCTTCCGGCAAGGGCACCCACTATGTCCAGCTAATGAGCAGATGACCAACAGCGGCGATTGCGCAACAAAGGCAGGCGCCGGCTTTCTAAGAACTCGGGCCCTCACTGTAGGATTTGTCCCCTCTGACACAGGCCTGCTAACAGCTCTTCAGTGTATGTGAGCAGCAGCTGAGGGTTTCCATTTCCTTTCCCTACTCATTCTTCCCTTCTCCCTCATTGAAACTCAATCTCTGGCCATGTCGTCTACAGACCTGCAAGGGGCCTGTTGACACAGCTGCCCCTCTGGTGCCACATGACTGAGGGCTTACCACCCATGACAGTCTTGAATGTCCTGGCACCAAGGACAATCAGATTAGCCTTCACTTGGGAGATCTGCTGCTTGGACTGTTTGTGTCTTTTGGAGCCCATTTGACTAAATTAAACTCCTTGGAAACTGATCGTCGGTCAAGTATGAAAGCCATACCTACCAGCCTTCGAGGTGCCTATCTTCGTAGCAGACCCAGTCTTAGGAAACAAGCAGGGTGGCCTTGCCACTATCTACAACCAAGCAGTCTTTCCCAGCCTGCGTGGTAGTAAAAAAAGATAAGCCCAGACAGAAGCCTTAGAAAAATAGCATCAGAACCAGATTAAAAACCGGATGAGCCTTGAACTCTATCAGTGAATATAGAGGGATAAAGTAAGGCATGCATTCATTCATTCATTCATTCAGCAAATACTTATTGAGTGCTCACTGTGTACCGATGAAACAGACAAAATCCTTTTCCCTCATGGAACTTATTTTACTAAGGAGAGAGACAATAAAATATGTCAATTATACAGAGTAGTAGAAGGTCATTAAGTGCCAT